AGAATACAAAATTTCTATGTAGAATGTCATGTAGGATAAATATATCTATTTGTTCAATTTTATATAAATTTAAATGTCTACTTGTGCACACCTAAAATAAAAGATCATAGTTATGTTACCAAATGAAGTCAAGTATTATATCTTTAACAGTTGACCAATATTTGGAGTGAAAAAGAAGTGATCAATAAATGAGGTTGATAAAATTTCTATGTAACTTCATAACTTTATAATTTAAGTTTGAATAAAGTAGGTTATTTTTAATAGTTAATAAGTTTGAGTGAAAATAGTGCTACATGTGTCAAAAAGTCAAGTCAGGTTAGACAGGTTGGTAGCGATAGCTAAAGCTGAAAGTAGTTAGTGATGCACGCGGTTAATCGCAAGTTAGAATTTTCATTACGAAGATATCAAAATAAAGAGAGGTAGATCTGAAAAGAAGCAAAGGGGTGATATAAATATACATAATATAAATTTAATTACCTATCTACATACTATAATTTTTTGATAAAAGAGTATCAGTTAACATTCCTCAAGTATAGGTGGCTCCGCCACCAAAGGTGGTTGATGGTGTTAGTGGTCAGCTACGTAAGTAATTGATCATAGTGATAATTCACGGTTGTTATAATTGTCGATGTTGAATTGCTATTTGTGCAATTAAAGTAGTTGGTGCTGAAAGTGATTGATAATAATGATTGAAGTCTAATAACAATAACGTTGAATTATAATAGATAGAATAGTGATAATAACATATTCAATGTAAAAACCATACTTAATAGATAAAAAATATTTTTGTGCAATTTTTAAATAAATTTCTTTGAATATCTAATATATCTTTTATATTTGATCGATGTGAAATTTGTCTAAAATATTACATAAATCATAAAGATAAATAAGTCTTTGCAAGGTTAAATTACAATTTTTTTGGTGGTGGTGTTCAATTAAGGAGGACTTTGTGATGGTCTTGTAATCTTTTTATTTCCACAAATAAATGAAAATAGTAGTATTACTGATGGAAAAAAAACACAATAAATAATACTTTTCCTCTGTTTTCATTTTTGGCTAATAATCGGCTACGTAAATTTTCCATTTTAGAATAATTAATTTGACCATTTTTTCCTACAAAAATTAAAACATGGATAAGTTTCTTATCTTTAAATAAAATATAAAATTTAATAAGTTATAAACATACTAAATAAAGTAATTTTGGCCCTTGAAAACAAATATTTCAATTTGTGTGACCTGATTCAAAGTATATGGGTCATATTAACTAATTTATTTTATGTGAATTCGTATATATAATGTTCTATTTTTATTTTATTTTTTTATAAAAATTATATGAAAAATACTATCCAAAGTACATGAGTCACCCCAGTTAATAATTTAAAATATTTTTAAAAAAAATATTATCAAAGATAGCACCATTTGGCTCTGCAAATAATAACTACAACACACAATTAAGTGAACAGATGGACAAATACTTACTCCCTCCGTCTAAAAACAGTTGTCATATTTTGCTAAGAGATAATTTGATTAATTTTTTTGTTAAATTAATTGAATATTTAAAACTAAAATTAGGTGTTCAAAAACTACATAAACTGTATTATAAGTTGCAATGTTTTTTTATATCATATATTAAAAAATACATTTAAAAATATTGCTCAAAATTCAAATAATTTGACTAGTGAAACACGACTTTCAAAAAATTCAACGAACGAACATAGGAGATTTTTTCACGCAAAAAAAAATAATTTTTAAGATTATTTTCAAAGAAAAAGATTTTGTCCCTCAGTTTTTTATTATTTTTTTATAAATAAACAACGTACAAAGTCGATTTTTGAAGTGCAAAATTATAATTGAAAAGCATAAATAAAAATGATAAAAATATTTCATTAACGTAAAGAACTTGTATGATTGAGTGGTAGAATTATTTGTCCTATCCACCAGCTTATTAAAATCGATGAAAGCCAAAACCAACATACGAGATCAATTGTTCCTTGAATTTAATCAAGTTTATCCTCAATTTTGACCCACTTTTTAGTGATACTGAGTAGAAGCGAAACATGACAAGTAATTTAAGGTCGACAGAGTCATAATTTTGGTCAAGCACTAATAAATGTATTTCAAGATGTGCAAGAAAAATTTGTGACACCTTACACATCATGAAAAATATGGGACAAATAACACATTTTTTCTTACCTATCTTGACCTAAATTCCTTTATCAACCAAGTATTCTCAACAATGTCAATATGTTACACAAAATTAGATGACATTTGTCACTTTTGTGCTTAATTAATACTAATTTATTATCACATATATAGACCAAGTGAAATGAATCATTCTGAAGTATCCAAAACTACATCCTTGTATTAAATTTGAACTGACATTTCTTTTGACACATATAATCTTAATTAATATAGTTTCTTTTCTTGACAATTGAAGTCTACAATTATTATGACAATTAATTGAACTTGAAGTAACTAGTTAGTAGTCAGAGACACTCCAAAAATAAAGAATTAGCGATAATAATATAATTATCGTTATATTATATTGATCTGTAATAATAAATATGTATATTTATAATGGCATGCTTTATATAAATATCGTTAAATGATTAAGATGCAATGACAGATTGACGATAACTCAATTACGGCTAAATATTTTTACAGCAAAATTTAAGAAAAAAATATTATCAATAAATGTCTCTTTTGTTGTAATGAGAGTTCTTTTGAGAAGATAATTTTCACTTGGTTAATATTAATTTGCACCTACAACTCCAATTATTAATTTATTGATATTACTATCACTATCCAATCCTAGATGAACTCAAAATTCAAATAATGTGATTTTCAGAGACGTATAAGAATTAATTAAAAATATCAATTTTATAATCCAAATATATATATATACCCCAAAATTAAATCAATATATAACATGCCACGTATTACAACTTGTATTACTTAGAAAATAGAATTGTGACAAAGTATATTCGGATATTTGCACACATAGAAAAATAAAATAGGCACGCTATATATTTGTACACTTAAAATAACTCGATTTCTATTGATTTGACAATTAAGTTTTATTTTTTCTTGATTTTAAAATGAGCAAGTTTTTGAATGATCTTGATATTTAGAGTTGACAATGATTAGAACAGTGCCAAAGACAATGACATAGCCACATATAGTTTTTATTAAAAAAAATTATATACGAAATAATTATATAATACCACATATAGTTTTTATTAAAAAAAATTATATACGAAATAATTATATGAATAATATAGGTTAAAAAATTATTTTTATATATGTAGTCGTATATATTAAATCTTAAATATTCTTAACGAAATTTTTTATTTAACTACCGGCGGCCTGAGACAAATTAAGGATTTTTTTATACATTTACAAATTAAACAACTCCATAAATTCCAAATTTCTAATGTTTAAACAAAAAAATGAACCCTAATTGTACTTATTAAGCATTCAAATGAATAGGGGAAAAGTAATTAAAATAATTTTTGGTTTCAATAGAACTTTTGATAAAATCTAAACATCAAAGATAAAAATTAAAGTCACAAAAAAAAGCCTAGGAATTTTTATTTTTATTTTTATTTTTATTTGTTGTTATTGCTTGTGGAAACTTGATGAGGTGTGATGAAAGATTCTTTCACCAACCCACCTATAGAATGTGTCAAAAGGCAGATAATCTAATCTAGTAGGTATACTTACTTCTCCTTCAAAAATATAATTAAAAATTATATAATATATATAACTTAATTATTGCAGAAAAATATGACTTTTTTTAAAGACAAAATTGACTTTTTATGTTATACACAACAACCAATGTTGATTGTGTTCACATCAACTTCTTGACAAATGATAAAAAATGATAAGTGGAAATGAATTGTGTGAAGTCTACATTTAAGCTTTAAAAGAAGGATTTCTTTGAATTTTTCTTTTCTCAATAATTGTACTCTTTTTTCTTGTATAAATTATTTAAATATTTAAAATTATAATTTTCGAAATTTGGAGCCCCCCCCCCCCCCCCCCCCCCTCAAACCAAAGGGCAC